TGAAAAAGATTAGTTATTTGCTACTTCAAATATAATAAACATGAAAGGCAAAAACTGAGAGCAGATTATGACTTCCACACTCCACTTTTTGCTGTCCATGAGCTCACTATCTGGAGTTGGTGAGGAACTGCTCTTAGCCTTTGGACATGGTACCCAAAGGCTGACCCCCAGAGTTGTCTCCATAATTTGCAGGGCCCAGTGCAAAATGAAAATGGGAGGTCTCTTGTCCAAAAAGCAGGGATAAAGCTTGTTTCCTTTTTTCTTTCATCTTTCTCTCAACCTCTCATACTATTTTTTATTTGCTATTTAATTTTGCACCTCCTTGAAAACAGAGAAACTTGAGGGGTGAGCGCTCACCATCACAGGGGCCTCAAGTCTCACCATAGGTCTCAGAGCACACCTACCAGAGCCCATCCCTCCCTGAGCCTATCCTCAGGGAAGATGCAGTCCATGGGAAGAGAATGGCTCATTTCAGGAGGAGGCTAGAGGTAGGACTGCTCCTGAACTTGGCCACCATGCCTCTGGTGCGTGCTCCTTTGTCCCATTGGATTGCACTTACAAAACACAAATTCAATGATAAAATTGTTACGGGTTTCAAGATGGCACCCACAGTCCATTAATTCCCCAACAGGGGCCCTTCTGAGAGTAGAGCCCTGTGTGACTGCACAGGCCACAAGACAACCCTGGTATCTGCCACTTTCCAAGGCCTCTGGTTTCTGGGATCTCTTAAATCAAATTTATAATTATTTCCAATACCCTCACCAGAGTCAGTGACAAAAACAAGACTTTAATAATACTACTAAGAAATGGCTAAAACTTCTACAGCACTTGCTCTTTGACAATTCATATGACCCGGAATTCAGCCCCTAGAAACTCTTTGGAGTTGAGGCTCAAGTTCACCTTTATACATTTTAGGCTAAACCCTGTAAAATTGTCACTGTTTCACCATTTTTCTTTTTACCAACAAAAACAGCATTTTATAGTGAACATCAGCATTCCACCTACCGTGCCACTTTCATCCCCTTCATGACATCGTTCTTTGCTGCTGTTTAAATGTTTATCAAACTCCTCTCAGACCTTCCCACATGATGTCATTAACTAGGCCACATGGGGTGCAACTCCCTTAGCTGCTTGTGTCCTTTGCTTGTGACTTTCCTCACATGCCATTCCACAGGGTGATGTCATTTCCATAGGGTGAGGATCCATGGTTGCAGCAGTCAGGAGGGGCCGGTGCAGAGCCCCTGTGGTAGAGACTTTGACTCCGACGTGCCCTTTAATGGGTTGAGATCTTTGACTGGGGTTGGCCCCATTCTGTTTCTGTTCCTGGACACCCTCACTTTGGTGGTTAAGTGGATGGAAATCATCCTGACATGTCCTGTCTTTGCTCTGTCTTTCCTTCTTCCCACAGTTGGACCCATCTGTAGAAGGTTATTAACTTAAGTCCTAATACCAGCTTCTTTTGATGCCATTTTCTTCTCTTGCATAAAAGATTCTCCTTTCACTCCTTGCACTTCACCCAACAAGGGCTAGTGCCTCAATAGTGAAAAATGAATGAATTAATTGAGGTCCTCTTCTCTATGGCTTGGTCAGCACCAATTGTTATTTTATTAACATTTTTCTTCTCTAAAAGTCAATCATTCCTGATGGTAATGGATGACTTAGTTGGCTCCCCAAGCATATTTAAATACTATAAAAGGTCCAGGCTTAGCAATATATTTATTTGTTGATACTCATATTTAATGCATAGGGACTTAATAATATTAATAAATGATAGAGTGTAGATTTTTAAATTCACCTGTGCAAACATACACATATGCATACAATTATACATAAACATATAGGTGTATGCACATATTTATTGCACTGTATAAAACATTATATTGATGTTTCACACCAAGGATGGTCTTCTCAGGGGAATCAAACACTGTGGGAATAAGACATTTAGTATATAAATGACAATTACAGACGGCAGAAAGTGGTAAGTTCCAGAAGAGAGGTACAGGAAAAGACTGTTGTATTAGTCTTGGGAGAGATTCCTTATGTTGTTGATATCACGGAAAACTTGCAATTTAATGTCACATTCCCTCGTGCAGAGGGCATGGAGATACTCAAGGGGTGAGTGCTGATCCTCACAGTGCTCAGGACCTTGTGTCTTAGTGCATGTAAGACCCAAAACCAGTGTGGGAACCAGCAGAACAGTTAGGATTTGGGGTCTGTCCCACCCTATTCCTTTAGGGAGAAGAGAGCTTCATTCCATTAGTACCTAAAAAGGCATCAGGCATTTGAATCATGGAGCCATGTGGTTTCATTTTATTTCATTTCATTTTACAACGTTATTGCCCCATTTTTTTTCATTGAGAAAATTGAGGCTGAGAGCCTAGGTAACCTGCTCAAAGTCAAACAGTAAACAAGTGGCTGAGCTGAACTGTACACAGGTATGTCCACATAAGAAAAGATTTCTCATTTGTGAACAGGACTTAGTCTCACATGAACAACGCTCACCCCCACTTTATGCTGTAAAATCTAAAAGAAACCTTGTGGTAGCTCCTGTGTCCTTAGCACAGTAAGTAAACACAGCTGAAACTCAACATGCCCACCCTCCCAGAGCCCACCAGAATCCAGAGCTTGTTTTGCCTACACTGGAAGGAATTCGAGGGCCACTGAATTCCTTCGTTGGCTCTTTGGTTCGAGTCCTCAGCCTTCGGCACCACAGATGACCAGATCTATCAAATCTGGAGAGAAACTATGACTAAAAGGATTTCACCCCTTTTCGGAGAGCAGAGCCCCTTACACCATCCTGGACCACACTCTCTGTTCATTTGTTTGAAGTTTACATTGAACTGTGATTTCCAGAGCTGGAACAGAGATGCTTTGGGCACAGAAGTCTACCCTGTCCCCTGTCCCCACAAGGCACCTGCCACTGAAAACCATGTGGAGACTGGGGAGTGTCTGCCCTTCTATCTGCAGCCAGAAGGCAAACTAAATAAACACACAGAACACTTGAATGAAGAGCCCACAGATGCACCCCCACCTTTCCTAATCACCCGCTGGATTTCCACCTACAAATCCTCCCCCGGGCCAGCCACCGCTTTCAGCAAGGCTGACAGCTCTGCTTGCTGCCCCTGCTTCTCACCCTCTCCAGGGCAACTGTGATCCAGACCCACCAGCACCGCTGCCTCCCTCACCCACTCAAAAGAACAGCTTGAAAAATCCATTTGAATGAAATGGCTTGATTACAATGGGGAGACAATTGGTTGAATAAAGTCAATTATCTCTCTGGTGACAGGTGCCCACTTTGAAGTCTAGGCACCTGCTGGCATAATCACTAAGGCTGACATTTCCAGACCTTTATTAAAAGGGGAATAATAGTATGCCAGGCCTGAATTTTGTTGTTGTTGTTTGTATTTTTTTTTAAAGCAGAGCAGAAGGGTGAGTGTAGTCTGCAGCTGCTGGGTCATTACCTCTCCTTAGCTAGCAGGTCAGGAACTGGGCCTTTGGATGCTGCCAGGGCTGTCAGAGGCTCCGACTGAGGCTGGTGCTGTCTAAGGTAACTGACTCTAGGCAGCAGAGCCGAAGGACTGTGCTTACAGCTTTAAGAGCCTTAACTACTCAAACCTGGAGAGCATTCAGATATGAATATTTAGTAACAGGAATAAGGGAATCAGGCACATCTTATTAATCCAATTAGGGAGACATAATGGAAAACAGGAAACAAATAAACAAATGATTTCTCCACAGCTGGGATGGTATTCCCATGTCCCGTCACTTTCACCAGTAGCCTATATGCTCAGCCTCACTTTACTGCTGACCCAATCTCCTTCCCTCTGCCAAGACCCTCTGTTCACTTTCTCCACCCTTACTCACCCAGACAAATGGACTCTGCGATTGTTAGAGTAGCAGATGGTTAAAGTAGGAGTGGGAGGTAGCAGCAGTAGGAATGTCTGGGGACCAAGGAGTGAAAGCAAAGTTGTTTATTCAACTAAAATATATTACTGAGTTAGTCTTGCACAGATAATACATTATGCTACCTGCCCTCTAGAAGTTCATACCTTAAAACACGAGTTAAAAACTTGTAGTGCTTAAGGATCAGGCAGGTATTATTATAAATGTGTGATGGTAGCTGATGTATAATAGGGACCAGTGGGGACTGTGGAAAACTAGAGAATCCTTGTCTGTCTAAAAGAGGCCACCTGGATTCAGCTCCAGCCATGAGTTGTCAAGTGATCTTGCAGGCCCAGTGTTGACAGAGCTTGAAATATTGCAAAAGAAGTTGGGATCTGAATTTTTTTTTTCTTTTGAGACAGAGTTTCACTGATGTTGCCCGGGCTGGAGTGCAATGGCACAATCTCGGCTCACTGCAACCTCTGCCTCTCGAATTCAAGTGATTCTCCTGCCTCAGCCTCCCAAGCCTCCCAAGTATCATTAGCATGCCACCAGGCCTGGCTAATATTTGTATTTTTAATAGAGATGGGGGTTTCATCACACTGGTCAGGCTGGTCTTGAACTGACCTCAGGTGATCTGTCTGCCTCGGCCTCCCAAAGCGCTGGGATTACAGGCTTAAGCCACCGCACCCAGCTGGGATCTGGATTTTATATGACACTTGTTGATACTTTGAAGAGTGTGTTAGCCTACAAAGCACATACGTGGTTTGTCGGCCACCATTTTATGATCCACATTCCAGAATGAGTTGACTTTCTATCCTAGAGGAGTTTTAACCAGGGGGAGTCACCATGATCATCATCCTATTTACCATTCATTAAATGTTGCAACATGCCATATTCATTCATTATCTCATGTATCCTCATACTATATACAATGAGGGCATTATTATTTTGATGTTATGCATGAGAAAACTGAGCCTATGTGATAGCTATCAATCAAATTCAAGGCAAGAAACAGAAGGGACATGCAAACTTGGAAATTAAGAAAAATGTAATAAAAGGATTCACTACAAAGGAGGGGGCAAAGCTGGAGAACTCAACAAAGCATGATACAGTACCTTGGTGCAAGCAACAGCAGACAGCTGTTTCCACCTCTATACTTGAAGACACAGGAGAGAGTGGTTCCACAACCCACTGGGAGTAGCTGCATTGAGAGGGGTGCTGGACAGCAGTGGTGGCCTTTGGGAGTCCTGCTCAGTGACTATGCAGAAAGAGAAACAGGGAAAAAATATATTGATGTCACTCTCCTTTCCACCTCTGATGTACATCGACCCATTGGCCCAACCAACTGGAAGCCCGAGGGGAAGGGAACCTTCTGACACAGTCAGTTACCACTCAGCATCCTGGGCATAGAGCAAGGAATAGAAGGGCAGAGAGTAGATCTAGAGGGACAAAGGCAAATCATCTAGCATATCCCTTAGCCAAGAGTCCAGATCCAGTAAGCGGTGAACCCAGGTTTAGCTGACACAGCTGTGTCTATTCTTGCTACTGGACCAAACAGGCCCCTTTGTCCTGAAAAACAAAGACTATCTCTGGCTCTCTATCTAGACATTGTCCTGTACTTACATGTAAGTGGTATCTTAATTTATATCAACTCATTGCAGGTCATATCTAGGTTGTATAGTGTAATATTTAAGATCGCAAAGGTTCTTGAATCAAGCAATACTGGATTTAAATTTCTATATGTACATTTTACTAGTGGTCTGACTTTGCAGAAGTCACTTAATCTTGAGACTCTTTATTGTTAGTCTCAGTATTCTATCATTTACAATGGGAATAATTGTACCAAACACATAGAATTTTATGTATAATGAGATTATATAAACAGAACACTTCATACAATGTCCAGCTCATAAAGAGAGTTAAATAAATGATTGTCACAATTATTATGTGAATGATATTATTAGAAAATGTATTTTCTTTCAAGATTCTTAGCTCGCATGCTCATCAAAGATTCACATAGCCAGAAGGCAAACTAAATAAACATACAGAACACTTGAATCAAGAAAGAACACAGAGGCACCCCCACATTTCCCTAATCACACTTTGGTTTTTCCTCCTACATATCCTCCCCTGGGCCAGGCACTGCTTTCAGCAAGGCTGACAGCTCCGCTCACTGCCTCTCTTCTCCTTTTCACCTGAGATAATATTTTTTTGTGATTCATTTGGCCAAACCCAAAATATGCAAGCACATTAACAACAGCAGTATTTTGACAGTGGTTTATTAACACATCAAAGAGAAACACATTCAAAGGGCTAATTTCAGTCTTTTATTAAGCCCTATGCAAGAAGAGACTGGGAGAAACAGGGTCAATGGATCACAAGCTCTTTAGGGCTCAAGAGTGGGATGCAACTGTCTGTCAAAAGGGCAAATAGATTAAATTTTCCTTCTGTTCTGGGTTCAAGCTAGGTTTACTTCTGGCACCGTATTTAGAGATGGACAATAAAATTCTGAAATATATCCAGAAAAATATGATCAGCTTGATTAGAGAACCTGAATCCATGTCACAAATGTAATAATTAAAGGAGCTTATTTCATTTGGATTGGAGAAGATATTTGGTGGGGCATATGAGTGCCTTCATGTCATCGAAGAAGACAGGATGAGTTCTTCAACTGCTGCAGTGAATAGAACCTGGCCCAGCACTGTGACCTCCTAAGAACATCAAGAGTGGCTCAGTATAAAGAATAACTTTCTGCCCTGAATTTGAATGCCTGCCTCAAAGAGTATCAGTTGCTTCTCCCTGAGGCTGTCCAAGAAGACTCATTTTGAAAGAGCACTCATTGAATATAGATGAATATTTCAATGGTACTACAGGCTTACACGAGGAATTGAAAGCTTATGTCTATGATCCTCCTGTGCGCCTAATGCTCAGTGGGCACACACATGAGACTGCAGCTTCTCTTGCAAAATTGGAAGCTCTGTCAACACTGGGCCTGCATGACCACATGCAACTCCCAGCCAGAGCTGAATCCAGATGGCTTCTCTTAGACAAGGGCTCTCTGCTTTGCCACAGTATCCAACAGTCCCTATTATATATCAGGTGGCTTTACCCATTTATAATACCTGCCTGGCCCTGTAACAGCATAAGTTTTCAACTTGTGATCTAAATTATGAACTTCTAGAGGGAAAGTGCCATAGTGTATTCTTCTCTGTGCCTGAACTCAGTCATGTATTTTAGTTCCTAATATGGTCACTGCCTCATTAATGCCTATTTAAATGGAATGTTGTATGGATCACCCTCTGCCTTTACTTTAGTCTGTCATAGGTTTCAGAATCAGACATTGCAATTTTGGTGGAGGGCAGAATTGAGAAGCAAAAGTCAATTCCTATTACCACATCTTCAATAACTCCCAGTAGGCAGATCACTTCCTCTATTCATTTACTAGTTTATTCTTCTGCCAGTACATTTAAAGAGGAATCACATCATATCAACATATCATATTTGAACATTCTACCCATTAACATCTGCAATATCTTTAGACTTCATACATCGTCTGTCAATAATTTGTGTTGACTGTTTTCTGTGTGCAAAGATCTAGGCCGCAGTATTGGCTAATTGTTGGCACACTTGCTGGTAGCGGTTCTGAAGTCACATTCTCCCCCACCAGGACCCAAAACACAATGTGACACCCATTTGCTGCCCTAAGAGTCTAACAAAATAGAATACTCTCAGGAAATCAAAGACCTTGAGCTTGGGAGTGCACAGAAAAAAGATACACACAGCATCACAGTCTACATATGAGCATAGCTATATTAACTTTGTCATTTTGTTCTGATTGTTGATATTGCTATTGCTACCACCACCATTACTACAGTTGCTTCTATTTTGGGTTCAGACAGTTCCTGTGAAGCTGCCGCCAACTGACAAACACTGGTGTCAACCACACATATCTGACTCCCTGAAGTGATTTGTGTGTGTGTGCGTGGTTGTGCCTATTCTTCTTGGCAGTGACTGAACCCTGAGGCCATAATTCATGGTACTTGCAAAGTTGAGAGTCTTGGTGTGATGGCATAGTGCAAAAGACACAGGGAAGAAAAACACACTCCTGGAAAATAGCATATGCTGTTTTTTAGTGCTGGAGGCCAGGAGCCCAGTGGAGCCGAATGGAGCTCCATACTTGTGAGTGTGAGAATTTGAGTCCAGCACTTTCTCATGTGCTGTTTCACAGTCCAGGATGGCTAGAATGGCAAACTTCCATTGGTGGAAGTTCAAAATATCTGTGAGATGGATAGTTGAGGAAGCAGAGCAGCAAAATAGAAATATATATAATACTGTGTTTAAGGGAATATTTTTAAAAATATTTTCTTGAAACTCGGAGGAATTATATTACACAGAAGACTAAATGACAGAATTCACACCAAGCAGTTGCTCACAGCCTTGTTAGACCTGGGCCTTGAAGTATGTCCATTGTGTGGTAAAGTATGTCTACTCTTGGGTAGAGGGGATGTGTAGAGAATAAAGCTTAATCTCTCTCTTAAGGGGAACCCACTAGTGGAAAAGTCAGAGCACAAAAGACAAAACATTTTAATAACACACCACCAAATATGTGGGACAAACAGCCAGTTTCACATGGGGATGTGATACCAGGCTTTCTCAAAGAGTAGCTTTTGAAAAATAAGGAATATTTGTGAGAGAAATAAAAATGTAGATAGCAATTGCACGTCAATCCCTGGATTGTTGAATTTCAGAATTCAGAGCTGAAGCTTTCATCTAACAATTCTAATATATGAATATTGTATCCTTTAAGTTCAATGATCAATGAGTAAACAATGACTACGTAACATTTCATGCAAACTATCCCAGTGAACAAGACAGATAGGATCCTTGTTTTCTTTGGGTTTTTATATTCTAGAGAATGAAGATAGATAATAAATAAGCCAAAAAAATTGGCAGGATAGTTTCTGGTAATGATAAGCACTGTAATGGAAATGAGACAGGCAGCCTGAGATGGGGTGGTAGGGAGGACAGAAGGGCGGGCTGCTTCTTTAGATTGTTAAGTCTGAAGACATCTGTGAATCAAGCACAGAAAGCTGTTTAATAATAAGACCCTGCTGGGGACTAAATGACAATGGATGAGGGATTTGTTTTGAAGTTTTTCCTCATTTCTCTCCACCCCCATTCAACCTCAGCATCGGACTCAGCACAATTCTTACCAAAGTGTTAGGCAGTGTGTTAGTCCATTTGTGTTACTTTAACAAAATACCTGATACTGGGTAATTGATGAAGAATAGAAATTTATTTCTCACAGTTCTGGGGGCTGTAAGTCGAAGATCAAGGCACTGGAAGGTTCCCTGTCCAGTGAGGGCTGCTCTCTGCTTCTAAGATGGAACCTTGTTGCTGTGTCTCCCAGAGGGGACGGATATTATGTCCTCACATGGCTGAAGGGACATAAAGGCAAAAAAGGATCTAATTAATTATCTCCAACCATTTCATATGGTTGCTAATCCATTTATGGGGGTTTCACCCTCGTGACTTATTTACTTCCTAAAGGTTCCACATCTTAATACCATCACATTGGGCTGTAAGTTTCAACATGAATTGTGGAGGATACACAAACATTCAAACCATAGCAGGTAGTGATAAGAGCATTAGGCAATAGTGCTCACAGGCATGTTCCTAGAATCTTGGTGGTTCCTCAGAGGTGTCTGGCAGTTCAGAAGAGGACCCAGGTCCAATTATGTTAAATATTGACAAACAATCATCCTTTCTAGAAGAGCAAAAAAAATTTTTCACCAGTGCTCATGCACCCTGAAGAGTAAGAGCCCTGACTTCCAAAGTTAGGGTTAAGGTGCTGGCTCTGACAAGGACTAGACTTTCGACCTTCTTGAGCCTGAGTAGTCTCTGAAATACCCCTCCCAGGGCTCCAATTCTACTTGCCTGTGATGTGACCAGGAGTCTTGAGCTGTGGGGAAGAAGATGAGTTTCCCAGGCTTTGCTTCTTTCTTCCTCCCAACTCCCCACCTCTTACCTGACTCTTAAAAGTTTTCTGGATGTGGATCACCCACACTAGTCCTCCCTCAGGGGAAAACAACAAAGCATTATTGGCCTATAATTTTCCATTTTGGAGATGTTTCTAATGACTATATGATATTACACTGAGTGTCCTCTTTTCTTTTCCTGGACACAGAACCCTGAATTTTGCCTTTGGTTGGAAGTCACCCCCACACACAAATCCAAGGAGTCATGGACCCTAGGGCT